ACATACATGCACATAAATGTACACATACATGCACATAAACGTACACATACATGCACATAAATGTACACATACATGCACATACACGTGTTTTCGTACACATACATGCACATAAACGTGTTTACGTACACATACATGCACATAAATGTACACATGCATGCACATAAACGTGTTTACATACACATACATGCACATAAATGTACACATGCATGCACATAAATGTGTTTACATACACATACATGCACATAAATGTACACATACATGCACATACACGTGTTTATGTACACATACATGCACATAAATGTACACATACATGCACATACACGTGTTTTCGTACACATACATGCACATAAATGTACACATACATGCACATAAACGTACACATACATGCACATAAATGTACACATACATGCACATACACGTGTTTTCGTACACATACATGCACATAAACGTGTTTACGTACACATACATGCACATAAATGTACACATGCATGCACATAAACGTGTTTACATACACATACATGCACATATGCATGCACACATGTGTATACACACAGATACGCGTGCATACACGTGTATACAAACATGCACATACGTTCCAAAATGCAGTTTTGAAATGATGGTTTTTATTATTTAGGGAGAGAACAAAATCCAAACCTACATTGCCCTGTGTGAAAAAGTAATTGCCCCCCTTGTTAAAAAATAACCCAACTGTGGTGTTTCACACCTGAGTTCAATTTTTGTAGCCACCCCCAAGCCTGATTACTGCCACACTGCCTGACACAGAGAAGTAGAACAAAAGCACCTCAAAAGCTAGACATCATGCCAAGATCCAAAGAAATTCAAGAACAAATGAGAACAAAAGTAATTGAGATCTATCAGTCTGGTAAAGGTTATAAAGCCATTTCTAAAGCTTTGGGACTCCAGCGAACCACAGTTAGAGCCATCATCCACAAATGGCAACAACATGGAACAGTGGTGAACCTTCCCAGGAGTGGGCGGCCGACCAAAATTATCCCAAGAGCGCAGAGACAACTCATTCGAGAGGTCACAAAAGACCCCAGGACAACTTCTAAAGAACTGCAGGCCTCACTTGCCTAAACTAAGGTCTGTGTTCACAACTCCACCATAAGAAAGAGACTGGGTAATAATGGCCTGCATGGCAGATTTCCAAGACGCAAACCACTGTTAAGCAAAAAGAACGATAGGGCTCGTCTCAGTTTTGCTAAGAAACATCTCAATGATTGCCAAGACTTTTGGGAAATACCTTGTGGACTGATGAGACAAAAGTTGAACTTTTTGGAAGGCAAATGTCCCGTTACATCTGGCGTAGAAGTAACACAGCATTTCAGACAAAGAACATCATACCAACAGTAAAATATGGTGGTGGTAGTGTGATGGTCTGGGGTTGTTTTGCTGCTTCAGGAACTGGAAGACTTGCTGTGATAGATGGAACCATGAATTCTACTGTCTACCAAAACATCCTGAAGGAGAATGTCCGGCCATCTGTTCGTCAACTAAAGCTGAAGCGATCTTGGGTGCTGCAGCAGGACAATGAACCAAAACACACCAGCAAATCCACCTCTGAATGGCTGAAGAACAACAAAATGAAGATTTTGGAGTGGCCTAGTCAAAGTCCTGACATGAATCCTGTTGAGATGCTATGGCATGACCTTAAAAAGGCGGTTCATGCTAGAAAACCCTCAAATAAAGCTGAATTACAACAATTCTGCAAAGATGAGTGGGCCAAAATTCCTCCAGAGCGCTGTAAAAGCAAGTTATCGCAAATGCTTGATTGCAGTTATTGCTGCTAAGGGAGGCCCAACCAGTTATTAGGTTCAGGGGGCAATTACTTTTTCACACAGGGCAATGTAGGTTTGGATTTTGTTCTCTCCCTAAATAATAAAAACCATCATTTCAACAATGCATTTTGTGTTTACTTGTGTTATCTTTGACTAACGGTTAAATATGTTTGATAATCAGAAACATTTTGTGTGACAAACATGCAAAAGAATAAGAAATCAGGAAGGGGGCAAATCGTTTTTCACACCACTGTGTGTGTGTGTATGTGTGTGTGTGTGTGTGTGTGTGTGTGTGTGTGTGTGTGTGTGTGTGTGTGTGTGTGTGTGAGACATTACAAATATTTGCTTTATTTGTTTAAGTCACCCCTGGACACATCTGAAGGATTTACAAGTGTAACGTTTTCCAGCACACCTCCAGCGCCCTCTTCAGGAAGCAGAGAACAATAACAGTGAGGGACTTGATTTTTTCATGACTTGTGCAGTTTTATTAAAGCTTCTGCATAACTTAATTCTGGTCCTCCAGGACCACTTTCCTGCACATTTTACAGGTTTCTCTGCTTCAACGCACCTGATTTTACATGATAGGTAATCACCTATCATGTAAAATCAGGCTTCTGTTGAGCTTAATGATGATGAACAGGTGATTCAACCACTGAATCAGGTGTGTTGGAGCAGAGAATACGGAACACCCTTCCCTTGGGTATCTTCCCTGAGATGCTTCTGCCAGAACAGGACAGCCCATTTCAAGAGGAAATGAAATAGTGCTAAACACCAGTCACTGTTTTCTAGGTCCAAACATCTTCTGTTGTCCGTGACTTCAAATCCTGTTTTTCGTTTTGGGACTCTGGTAGTTTGTCTTAAAGTTGAAGCCAGCTGTTTCTCGTTCTCTGATATTAATGAGCGGAGAACCCCTAGCCTGGCCAGCCAGCCCCATGCTTCCATATGGGAAGCATTAGTCCTCTGTAGAATTAAACAGAGGACACGTCTGGAGGCCAGGCTAGAGAACCTCTCACACCAGTGGTGTTCTGCTCTAAATACCCGAGTGCGTTATGAATGGAGGACCCAGAGAAATGTGGAAGTTTGGACAAACCGAAATCTAGGGATGTAAGAAAATATTAATATGGCAATATATCGTGATTTTTCCCCCAGCTATATTTATATCAATATTCAAAAGCTGTGTATCAAATTTTTGAAAGATTTCTCATGCAAACATTTGTGCATTTTTTCTGTTGGTGCAATTCAAACGCCGACCACTAGATAGCAGCAGTGTGCAGCAGGTTTTGTTGCCACCACTGAAATGTACAATCCCTCTATTATGGTTCATAACTCTAATCCTCATGTCAAACATGTTATGCATCAGTTTGTACGGCTTATTGAATTTTCCTACAATAAATTCAGTCCCCAAAAAATCATTAATATCGTCTGACTGAATGCATCGTGATACAGGGGCGGATTAAGGAATGAAGAACATCCGGGGCTTAACACACGCACACACACGCGCGCGCACACACACGCACGTGCGCGAACACACACATACGTGACACGCACTAGTCAACATCATATATGTCTTGTACCACATAATTTTTAATCTGAAGCTACACATTAAGCATATTCAGGGCAGAGTATTGTTCCTGTTAGTGTTTAGTGTGAGATGATAGTAAATATTCCCTTTCTTTCTCCATCAACTTTACCTGATAAGCTAACTTTAGGCAAACCAGCAGCACAACAAATATTTTCAAATAAGACTCACAAACCTGAGTCAACACCAGTCTCATCAAAGCTGGGGTTCTGTCGTTGTACTTTTTGTCTAAAAAACGTCCTTATGTCCATCTTCACTCATGCGTATCAGGCAGAGACTGCAGAAGAAACCGGCTGCTGAAGGGCTTCTTCTTCAGTGGTGGAGGCTCAGGCAGGCTGTATACAAACTACTGCCAGCTGCTCCCTCTCTGTTGGACTTTGGTACTGCATGTTACTTCCGCGATTTAGATCTGGGGCTTTCCATGAAACATCCGGGGCTTCAGCCCAAGTAGCCGGGCCTAACGCCGCCCCTGTCGTGATACGCATCATATCGCCAGAATTTCACCAATACACAGCCCTACCGACAGCCAAATGATCTAATAGTTGCTTTAGCTGAAGTTTTGAGACAAATGCAAGAGAACCACATTTTCCCCCAGTTTTTTAAAATCTCTATAATATATTTATAGCTATACTGTGTTAAAACTTTGTTAAGAGGCATAAAATTAATGTTTTGCTCTAATTTGGTTTCCAAATCTGCCATTGCAGCTTTAATGATTGTTGCAGTTAACTCATTCACTGCCAGCCATTTCCTGATTAGTAAAGCCCTTCGTTGCCAGCGTTTCTCACCGTTTTTACTATTTTTAAGAGTCACAGAATGTTGCGTGCTAGGATGATGTTGACGCCAAAACAACCAAAACAAAGCGGAGACTCGCCTCTAACAACAGGAAGAATCTGTGCGTTTCGAGCGTTATCCGTTCTTTCATAATCTGTTGTTGAATTGTGATCGGCAGACGCTTTTCTGGTTCGCGTTTCACTTTTTTTTACAGCAGCGGCCCAAAACGATCTCCTAGCACATGGACTTTCTGCTTCCTGATCTTGTGACGTATGCGGATGAAGATCAGCTTTAGAGCGGAGATGTTTGGCAGGGGCTCATTCCGATGCCCACACAGTAAAAAAAATGCAAATGACGACTTTTATCATCATTTGCAGTGAACAGTTGGAATTAAAATGACAACTTTTGTCATCAATGGCAGTGATGGAGTTAAGACAAATCCAGATTTGTTAGATTTAATCCATATTACTAATTTGATGTGGTAGCATAAGAAATAAAATGGTAGCGGCTCAGGAACGACGCTTATATGAAACGACTTTGGCATCAACTTGCAGACAGAGGTACAGCTTCTATATGGCAGACTGCCCCGTTGGCTTATATCCATAGCGATGAATACGCCACATTGTCCGTTGCTCTGATTATAGTAAGGCTTGTCAGGCTAGTTGGTTGCAACTACTCTGATCAGCACAAAGTGTGGCAAACACTTTCTGAGACTTTTCTGACTGATAAAAATAAACAAACAAATTAGTAAAGAAGCACAATTTTTTTTTTGTTTACATGTTCTCTGGTGTTGACAGTTCTGTCACTATGATGCAACACATCGAGTTTATAATCGTGACATCTCAACTCACCAGCATGCAGACGTCCATGGGCAGGTAGACTTTCCGCCTACTGCTGTGGTACGGGGTCGCTCGTAGACACGTTACGATCCCCTGAGCTTTACCAAGGTGGCTCGCCGCGTGATCTGCGTGGACATTTGTTATGCCTGCAAAAGAACATCAACACAAATCACGGTCAATGTTTCTAGCATTAATGTAAATCTTTCAGATCACCTGCTCTCACCTAAACACTCCAGCAGCAGGTATAAAAGAGAGGACTGTGTGTTCTCTGAATATGCTTCAAGTTCTTGAATGTTCCTGTAGGCTTTGTCATCCAAGTCCTTTTCCTGGTAAGACAAACAGATTTTTCTTTTATAATATGCAATTAAACATGTTAAAAGTCCCAGGTTCCTTATAAACGGATTCACTGAATAAGCTGTGACTTGTTTTCGCTTTAAAAGACAATTTGTAGTTGAATCTCAGCTTTTATAAATCAAACCACAAGCTGCAGAAGCAGAAGAAAATAGATTTGTGTCTTACTCTTTCTGTAATAATTCTCAGCAGCCATCTTTTTGTCAAATTGTGTCTCTTCACTGCCTGTGAGACAAAATCAAACTCAACGAGTTTTAATCCTTAGCAAGAAAATTCATGTTTATTTAAATAATATCAAATAGATGTTTTTCACTTTTTACCCTCCACAGCTCAGTGCTGACTGGTTGGTTTGGAGGGTCGTCTCTGAAGATCTCCTCTATGGCTGTTTTCCAGAACTGCATTCGCATCAAACCAATGGTCTTCTGGGAAACTGAGTCCTTCACCTTGTCCAAAAACAAAACAGCAAGTCTAATATTAGCCAAACTAGTAAAAAAAAAAAACTACATCTAATTAAACAATAATAAACACTTCTTAAACAGATTTATAAACATAACAAATTAGCTTGGTAGCTGATGCAGCAGTATTGGTGACAGGTACACAATTAACAGCAGAGATTCAGGATGTTATTCCACATCCAATCAAACGCAGGGATACCTGCCTGTGCCAGCTCCACATTAAAGGCTCTCAGAGCTAAAGAGGAGAGCCGGACCTCCTCTGGGAGGAGGAGAGACGACAAAAAGCCTTCATAGTCTCTGGACCTTAGGAGGAAAGAGAGATGCCAGGGTGCCATGGATAAGAGGAGATACATATTATTATTTATCTATATAAAAAGCTATAACAAACCCAAGTTACCCTCAAAAAACATAAAACAGACAAAAATATGGCAGCCTTTAAAAATCTTACATAGCATTTTACTTTGGTATGAACTAATAAAGCAAACCAAAACAGAAAATAAGATAGAAAAAACATGCATTTAACTAAATTTATACACACTTTGATAAAATTTGGCTAATTTGTCTTAAGGGTAGTCTAGGTATTTTGAAGATACTTCAAACTTTTTAAATATGTACTAAAAAATTACAATATAGGTTAAATGAAGTCCGCCGAAGTGAAGAGTAAACAGAAACTATTTAGATTAGAATAAACATCAAGCACCTCTCTAAAACTTTTAATACTCGTTTTTCTGTTCAATTGAGTTTGGCGTAGAAATGTTACACCAGCTTAAACTGAACTAAATAGGTATGCCATCTGTTTTTACATTACTCTTCGAATGGCATTTATAGTAAGTACCCTGACTATTGTAAAAAGATGGCATGTGTTTTCTGTAAAAGCATTTATCAAATGTGTTAGCATTAAACAAAGTCTGACCCACCTGACCAAGTCCAGACAGTACTTTTCATTGTACTGAGATCCCACTGTTGCATTGGCTAACGCTCTCACACTTTGTATTTCTGATCCTCTTAGGATACAAACACTTGTCGGCATTAATTTTTTGTGCAGACAGTAAACAAGCGACGCTTTACTGCCCAGTATTCCATGTTTAGCACTCACACAAGCTGCCATGTTCCCCTTCAACTTGTGCTACTTCCGGTAAACCTCGAAAATTTAGAAACAAATATGAAAATTACGTGTTGACCTTCATGAAATACACGAACATGAATTATTTTACCACTTTAATTTCCAGCCATCAATTTTGTTTGTACATTTTAACACTCAAATTATACTTTAAACAGTATAATTCTCTTAACTGTTTAAACTACAGAGCCGGTTTGTTGAAGGTCGTTTACAGTACGTTTTTCTTGATTAATAAATAGAAATATTGCGTCAGTTTTGTTCTTTTTGTTAAAAAGCTGCACAACTCAGGACTGAATAATTAATTTGTAAGTGAAAGTATTCCATCTACGTTGTTTTTCTGCTTTGAAAATCTTAAATCGGATTTTTCAATCGCTTCCGAACGCAGCAGACGCTCGAAGCAAGTGTTACGTTAAAAACCTTCCTCCGGGTTTCCGTCACATAGATCCGTTACTAGCGGATTTAGCATCTACCTCGATTTAAAAAGAAAACTGTATAAAGATAACTTTGCAAAGAGGAACACTATTTCATATAGTTGGGTACGGATCAGTAAAATTAGTACATAGATATTAGAAAGGCAGATACTTTGTGTTTAGTTGCAAAAAACTGGAATAGGTGATTTAATGACATTACCGGAAATTGGAAAAATGTGAATTCAAAATAAGACAAATTCTACTTTTGAGGATGACGCGGACTAATTAAATGTTTGTTATATTTGGTTTAAAATAGCAAATGTACACTGAGACTAAATGTGTAACTACATGTATATATATATATATATATATATATATATATATATATATATATATATATATATATATATATATATATATATATATATATATATATATATATATATATATATATATATATATATATACTGATGCTTTTCCTGAGATCTGCTTTAGCCACTCCTCCAATTTGGGGATTACTCTACTGACCAGAGTGCCCAGATGACCACTGGCACCAATGATGTCTTCATTCTCCATGCAGGCTTTCTCAAAATCGTCTCTAAGGCCCTGGTACTTCTCTCGTTTCTTGTGTTTCCTTTTCCTGATGTTGCCATCACTTGTTTTTGCCACATTAATCACAACAACTGGCCTCTGTTGTTTGTCCACCACCACAGTGGTTGTAGTGTTCCATGTGTGCTTTCCCTGCCAGCATCTTACACCTTGCAGTTATGTGGTGGATTGTCTTAGAGGCCTCAATGCATCAAAAGAAATTTTCTTTTCTTTTTTTTTCAAACACGTTTCAAACAAGTTCGTTTGTTTTGTTGCCTTTCCAGTAGCAGTGTTGAAGCTTTTATTTTGTAATCAGAAGGAAATAGACGTCATGTTTACTTGGTGATTTCCTCCTACTTCATGATCGCGCGCGCTAACAGGATGTCGGGTTTAACAGCAACAGGGGTTGCAAGTTTGACAAGATAGTTGCCCACACCATATGGCTGCAAAGTCGGTGAAATGTTGGCATCTGTGGCTGCTGTTGTTGCTCTCTGTGCGGGCGTCCGTTGCTAAAAACAGTCGGTAAGACAGACTGATTAAGAGCTAAATGCTAATTCTACTTAGTTTTTGTTAGCAGTGACGAGTTAAATCGTTCCCAGACAAACGTTCACTTTTTCCCCTCTTACGTGTGTGTTGCTGTCTTTTAATATTTGCTGTCAATACTATTACAACTTTTCAGTGTATTGTTGGACCCTAAAATACCAGTGCAAATGGAAAAATTACTTAGCCATACTTGCTAATTGTTTAGTAAGGGTCGACCGGGGAGTTCAGATACTCAAATTTTGTGAAAAAATAAAAAATAAAAATAATAATAATAATAAAACTATTCTGGGAAAACATGAATAATCTATAATAACTTTAAGATGTGTTTGAAACAATACGGAGTTTCGTTGGCTTTAAGGTCGGTCTTAGAATTTTGAATAAAACTATAAAACTTGTTATTTTTTGTCAAGATCATTATTGGTCACAAGATGTCGCGTCATGCCTCCCTCAAATCTGACAGTTTCCTGAAACTTTTTTGCAGTTTCTGTTTCTTGCCACAAGATGGTGGTGTTTTATAAGATAAACTCAGTAAAATGCTTCAATTGTTTATTTGAATATCAATAAACGATCAGCTAATTGTAACCTCATAACTGATTAAATTTCTCTGCTTGTTTTCTCCTTATTGTAATCTGATAAATCAGTGCAGATTTGTTAGCTGTTAGTTTTAAATCTACAATAATGAATAAATGGCAGCAACGTTGCTTCATGCTCATCTGATTTAATTTATTCTTAAATTTAATGAATAGTTCCACAAGTTCACAGTTCATGAGATGTTTCATAATGTTGCTGCTTTAAAGCTTAATTCCAATATTTCTGCATATCCATTGTAGGCTTGGATCCAAATAATTTAACATTACAAAATCCAGTTTAAAGATATAAAATAACCTTTCTGCCGTCAACAGCAATAATTGATTTAAGATTGACGTTTTTTCTCAAGTAAACAAACCAAAATAAAAACATCAAGTGGCTTTTATTAGACTAAATGAGGCAATTGATACAATTAGTAAAGATCTTGAATAAATTAAAATATCAGTTTAATGTTTAACTAATTGAAACTATTTAAAATTATTTGGTCAAAGTGTCACCCTATTAATAAAACAACAAAAACAGATTTATTGATGGACTGAAAACATTTAGCTCACACATGGGTGAGTAGAAACCATAGCTCTGTTCTTTGTGACAACACATTCCTCTTGGTGATGAAAACACATTCCTTTATTTGATGATGTGCTAGATTCCTTCACAGTCTCTGCTGTTTGTCTCCATTATCTCGATTAATCAACACACACGTCCGCACTGAGCTACTCTGGGTTTATCAGTCACTTTATTCCTATTTTATAGTTGTGAAAAGGTTTTTTTAATATTCATTTGGAAACAAAATAGGTATTATATTTTGAATATCTTTAGAGTCTTTCAACACTACAAAACAAATAATTATTCTGTGTATCTTTAGTTTTGCCAATTTAACTTTTTTCTTTACCTCATTTTATTTAAACCAGCTGCTAAAAACCAAAATTAGTGTTGCAGTATAAAATATTAACTATGAATCTTCACATTTTCACTCGACTGAATGTTTTTGTTTTCCTGCTTGGACCACTTCCGTTGCATCCTTGCAGGCGTTCTATGAATGATGACGTCCTCCGGCCGTACACCCACGGACATGGCCCCGCCCACTCTCATCGCTACGTCAGAGACTGTCAGGGCATCCTTTATGGTAACACCACCCATGAGAGCTGGGCCTCCAGCAACGACAGGGGGCAGCCGGTTGCAGAGTCCAGACTGTTTGTGACAGATGTGAAAGATGTGGGTGGAGTCAGCAGATGGGTCTACGGTGCGTTACGATCACACGAGTTTAAGGAAACTTAACCTCCAGAGAGTTTGGACTGATTATATCCTTGGTTTTTGTTTCTTTTCTGCATTTACTTTTGGTTTGACATTTGAGAGTACTAAGTGTTGCTCTCTCTCCTTCTAGGTCACATGACTGTGGTCCACGACCCACTGCAGACCGTGTCGGTTGTAGAGCCAGGAGGGCCAGGTGGCTGCAAGATGAACCACCAGGTGTCTGTGGAAGAGACGGCGGAAGCTGCGGGGTGTCTTTATGCCCAAAACGCTGGTTTCTTCAACACAAAGTCAGGCGTGTGTTTGGGAAACGTGGTGAGCAATGGCAGGCTGGTCCAGGACAGCAGAGGACTGCAGAACACACAGTTTGGAATCAGGAAGGATGGAACCCTGGTGTTTGGGTGAGAAAACAGCTTCAGTTTGATTATGATTGTATGAAGAAACAATTCAGTTTTGTTGGACACTTCTAAACACAAGTGAGTTTATATTAATTTTAGGTAGGATAAAAAATCTTGGGAAGTCTGTTTTTTTTTTGTTCCATCTGTGAAGAGCAATGACTATTTAAAAAGTCTAATTAAAGCAGACTATTTTTGTGATTTTCCAGCCAGTTAATCTTCTACTTTAGTGAAATGGATGTTATAATGGAAAGACCAGTATTAAATCAAATAAAATATATAAAATAATTGACAATAACTCACCTATAATAAACTAATGAGATTTTCATTGCACAAAACAACGTCTTGGTAGTGCCCCCTTGTAAATTGTAACATTTTTCCCTTTTTGGTCTTTTCTAATTCTAAACATTAGAGATTATAAATCAACAGGAAAGTGCTCGCATTGGTTTCCATATCTTGTACACAGATAAGTGTTTTTCATTTTGCATAGAGAAAAATAGAAAATAAACCTTTTTCTATTCCTGTTAGTCTAAAGTCCTTAAAGCAAAGCACGTCACGCAGCATCTGTAATGCCAGAGCTTTAAATTAAAGTTGTAGAAGGTTGCTGGGAAGCTGTTGTTGGTTTAGTGTCCAGAAAAAGGCAGAGAACATCTCAGCTAGTAGAAGCTAACCATTAGCATTAGCAACTCCACCACACGACAGAACTCCTTCAGGCTTGTGGTATTTATGGAGGTAAAACATCCACGTTGCAAAGCAGAGTCAGTGGTAGAGTCACATTGCTGTTAGCCAATCAGAAGTGAGATGTCCAAATATCAGGAAGTAAGACTACATGTCCTGCCTTCTGAAGCTCAATCCTGATGTGGCTCACTTCTACTTCCTGAAAAGGGTGCAGCAGAGCTTTGTTTCCCCAGAGAGCCACTCACAAGGCATCTGTTCCTATTAGAGACCACTGCAAATGTACTGATGAAACGAGTGTTCCACAACTTTAAGATCATCTTATGCTGACAAATGCTGGAGTCATAGCTGCTTTGGTCAAATCTTCAAAAACAACATGCTGCAGTCTTTTGCAACATCACAAGATCTTGTGCAGCTTGTTAGCTCATGTTTGTGGTGCAGACATCTCTCAGCTACAGCCATGTTAAATTATTGCTCAGTATCTGTAGATCTGGCTGAGTTGAAGCCACGTTTAGTTTTTATTTCTAAGGCCAGTTAGCCATGGCAGCCATCTTGAATCAGGTTGACTGCAAAAATGAGGAAGAAGTTTCATTTAAACTTGTTTAGATGCTCCTGAGGCATCTTACTAACAAATGCACAGTCAGGCTTAAACATTAGTGCCTGCCTTTTGTCTGCAGGTGAGAACACCATTTTACGCATGTTTTTACATAAAGGCTTCATCTTAAGTGTCAGTAATAATAGAAGAAATTAGCTAAAAAAAAAAAATCCACAGCAAGCTGCCTGAACTTGAAGTTCCCAAACGGGATTTAACGCCACACCAGGCATCTTTGTGGAAGGTATTATTAGTGTTGAACTGTATCTTTAAAAAGCCACAAACCACATTTTTCATACACACCAGACACTTTGCTGTCTCCTTGCGTGTCTGCACCTGACGTCACATTTCTAAAATATGATCTCCTCTCACATTTGCGTTTGCTACTGCCCGTTCAGATGGCGCCTGAAGTAAACCACAACTCCCTGGGCTTCCTGTTTCGTGTGGGTCTGTATCCTCCAGTCTAACCTCTGGTCCAGCTCAATAAACAGCTCAAAAACAGTGCTCAGGTGAAGAGTTTATGACTCACTGTGGCACCAGTTGTTTACCGTTGTCACTTTAACATGGCACCGTGACAGTGCAGGACATGAATCTGCTGCTTGTGTTTTATAAACAGCAACCTTCGTTTGTTTTGTGTCCTAATGCAGCTTCACAGATTAACCCTGGTTATTAAACTATTTGATTATTAGAACAATACAGAGCTGGAATTCATTATTTTTCTTGAAAAATAACTAATTTGATACATTTGTTTCTCTAATATTCAGAAACATATATTTACCTTGTTTTACGAGTGAGGTTAGAAATTCTAGAGTTTCTACATGATGCGGTTCAAATTCAGAAAAACTGGAGCTAAATAAAAAAATAAACAAGTAAATAAAAAACTGTGGTCTTCTTTTCATAAAGCATGTTGAAAATACTAACCCTCAGTCTAATTTACTCTATATTTTTTAAACAATGCCAAACCAAAGCAACCATGACCTACTGACCTACTTAACTGAATAAGTTTAAAAGCCTTAATAACTATTTAAGCAGGTGAATAGAGGCTTCTATTTAAATATAACTTAGTAACGTTGGTGCTTATAGGCTGGTTTATTTGCTGTTTCCAGGTATCTGTCACAGGAGGAGGTTTTAGATAAGTCCAATCCCTTCGTCCAGCTGGTTAGCGGCGTCATTTGGCTGCTGAGGAACGGTGAGATCTACATACGACAGAGTCTGGAGGCCGAGTGCAACAAGACCCAGGAGACGGGTAAATTCACAAAATACTAATCCAGACCGCAAATGATAAACAGCAGGAGGCAAGATGCCTTCCTAATTAGCCAGGTCTGTTCTTTAAATGGATATTTTTACTTTTGTCTTTTTGCCTTGTTCCCCAGAGTCTGAAGGAAAAGGGATTTTTTGACAAGCCCGGCCATTCTCCAAATCTGGCAGTATTCAGTTTGCTATAGTATAGAAAACAGTGTAGGTGAATGGTAACATCTTGTATTTTGGCTGAGAAAGTCATCTTACTCAATAATGATCATATTTTTTCTTGATGACCTCAATAATCATCTTGACTGCAAATGATAATAAGTAAAATGAAGGATTTACAGGAGCTAATGTAGATTTGGGACCACGTTACGACAAAGCACCGCTGTAAGCCGCTGCTGCAAAGTGCTAGGGCATGATAGCCTGGCAAGCCAGACTAAATAAATGTATTATTTAGTCTGGCAACGCTCCATTGACTGCTCTCGGTTGTGGGGCGGGTTCTACCGTTGTCTTTCAAATGATCTCCGCATTCCACTGGACAATGAATGTGACATAGGCCGTGTTCGAGTTGAGCAGCGCCTCGCCTGGAAAACAGACGAGAGCAGACGGAAGCAGCAGGGGGAGTGGCTGAAAGCCGGAGTTTAAATCCGACAGATTTCCCTACATGTGTAGCTCGGGGGTGACGATGGCTGAAGATATCGTATTAGCGTTCACACTTGTTTAATTTTTTATTTTAATTCTGGTGCCTGTTAGCAGCTGAAACACATCCTCACGTGCTTGTGGATATCATATATTGTATATGAAGACATGACTGTAATAATAAGTAAAGGTTATCAGCTGTAGCTTCAGTGTGCTCATAGGAAACGTGGCAAAAGAACACAAAACACATTTCTCTTTATGGCCTATATAGTTGTCATCATCAACATAACATGATTTACAGAATACATGTGACCAACTAACATTTCATGTTCGACCACCGGATGTTCGGATCAAAATATGAACCAATCAGATCTTAGATCAGGTGAGAGCCAGGCGTTTCCCGTCATCCTCTAGGTTTTGCAGCCGAGGGAGAGCAACTGCAGCGCCTGCTCCAAAATCTGCGGCTGCCTTGGTCTCACGAGGTTATCGTTGCCTACGTATGCATGACGTCAGAGCAAGTCGGCGTCAAGTCAGACACAAATCTAACCGGCATGCACTGCTCGCCGATCACCGCTGGTCTAATCTGTGCAGAACTGGCTCATCTCGAACACAGCCATACTCTTGTTTCACTCTGTTGCATCATCCCACCCACCAGGCATATAGAGTGCCCTGATTGGCCCACAAAGCGGATAAAGCTCTGTGATTTGTTCACTAAGCAGATAGAGCACTATGATTGGCCCACCATTATGGACCAATCACAGCTCTTTATGTGTTTGAAACCCCTCTAGAGAGCTGTGATTGGCCAGCCAGAATGCTGTTGGGGCTGCAGAGGTTCCAGTGGAGCGTTCCTAGACCAAACTTTGCAAAGCAAGAATTTGCTCTAGTTCACTAGGCTAAGGGCATGACACAGCGACCCCAAAGCCCACCGTTTACTGTCATTAGGATGAAAAATTGTAAATGTTGTACAGTAAACGTGGAAGTGACAACGTCTGCTGCTGCGTCATGTCCTTGGGCTATGTATGCATCAGTGGCACACAGCAGTGCTTTGCCATAATGTAATCCCAAATCTAAATCAGCTCCTGTCATTTCTTTGTGTTATTATTTGCAGTCAATATGATTATTGAGGTTATGAAGAATTATTAAGAGCATTTTTGAGTAATTTTCATGACGTTTTCATAGAAAAATCTAGCCGTCACCATTCACTTACATAATTTATGCAGAGCTAAAGCTAAATATATATGCTGCCATATTAAGAGAATGAAGAGACTGGGCTCCACTTATCTTACTTTGGGGAATATGGCGACAGGCTATATTTTACTTCGGGGTGGAAAATCCTTTTAAACACAAACATCTGAAGGTTTTATGTTCTGTCCCAAAAGGACAACAGACAAAAAGGTTTTTTATTTCTAGAAAATTCTCATTCCCTGTCTAGAGCCCCTTTCCCCGACCTCAGCTAAAACTGGTGATAGCTACTGGATCACCTCCAATGTTGCGACCAATAAATAGTTTTCTCAGCTGGTGCCCTCCAGTGTTTGGATAAGACAGGAACTCTTCTGTGACCTGATAAACACACAGCTACACCAAAACACAACACTGCAATGTTTGATGAGCGTCTACGGCCCGTCCACAGGTTACATCATTTCTGAGCAGCAGTCGGCTTTAAGGACACGAGCTGAAAGATGCACACAGTAAAGCAGGTGAAGATAACTTTCACCAGAACTGATCTCTCTGGTTACGTAAGAATGAGATTCTACCTCAGCATCCATGTCATTTGGAATAAAGAATTGTTTTAGTGAGAGGCAAATTTCTTATCTATACGCTACAAATATTTATAGACAAGAGTCTTTGTTCTCTTCTTATTGGTAAATCACAAACACTCATCAGAGAGCAGAATTGGGTGGATGATGAGACATTTTTGTTTTTTTTTTAAGGGGTTCTAGGATTAAAACCCATATTTAGCTGATTGTACAATAAAGGCAGCTTAGGGTGTCAAATGCACCAAAACGTCTGCTGTCTCTGCCTGCTTTTATATGTAAATTAGTGATGTTTTAATGGCCATGGAGAAATAGTTTGGTCTTAGAAAAGCTGGTTTAACACATCATAATTGTGTCCTGCACTGGTGCGGTTTTCTCAAGGCCAACAATTGTCCGTTTTCCCCTGCTGGCTTGAGTTGATGCAGTCCCTTGAGCAATGCTACGGCTGGAGCATCCTAGCGGACCAGAGATGGTAACTCCAGACTGACGAGGTGTGGGATAGTCTTCTTCAATCTGTCGATTTAAAAGCAGTGAGGTTACGATAAAACAAATTAAACACTTTGGAGCACACGTCTCTGCCCTAATACCAAGTAGATCCTGCCAACGACGCCAAATATGTGGCCTTTAAAAGGTGCGGTCTAGACACTTCTTTTGCCACCTGGTAACTAGGGTTGCAGGGATTAACCGAATTGATTTTTAACTGCAGTTAACCCCCCTTTAAAACGGCTCCAACGCGGCATATTCAAAACAAAAAGACAATAGTGCGACCCACACAGACAAAAACAAAAGTGAAACTGAACATGTTCATGCAGCAGAAGCAGAACCAGTGACAGCAACCATCAAGACTGCTCAGTTTCCACCTAGGAATGTCTCCTGTGTGGGAATATTTCAGCCACATTAGATTTATTCCCACACAGGAGTTGGCAATCCCCCCCCCCCCAGCAATGGTACTGCTGGAGTTTCCTAGTGGCGACCCAGCGCTGGAGTCGGAATCGTTACACGTCAGATTGACCCGGTGTACAGCGAGGAAGAGCACAGTAACAGACACCCAGCAGGAGATACCAATAGGCCACAAGCAGATTGTAGACTGAGCAACTCTTCAGGAAGACAGAAATCCAATGAAGGGATACTCAGTAAAAACCCGAAGAGCAGTGTGGAACAGAGGGGGTGGAGTCACCCAGTCTTTCCATTGTAGGACTTTATTATGTGGCTGTGTTTGGCCATTAATTAGACCTCCTGGGCCATTTCTTTGTTCTAGAACCCCTTTAAAAAAGATAAGTTTGGCTTTTTGACAGTCTCCTTTATTAATGTCCCATCACACGTCCCAAAAAAGGCACAGGTGCAAATAGGGCATCAGTTCTGTCTTAAAGAGGATTTTGTTTAGAGGGAATAAGTTTTATTTGTTAACCCTCTCAGGCTCAGAATAAGTTTTGATAAAAGGACGAACAACTAAGTTCTTCAGAGGTACTTCTGAGTTACAAAATGCTCATGAAATACATATGTGGAGTAACCAGGTAGGCAGGGTTTAACGTTGCAATTCTGCAACGCCTGCCTCCAGAGGGTTAAAGACGTTTTAGATTACATTAAGTGTATTTGTAAAGGGACTGCACAAATTAATGGACATATATATAATTATACATTTGCAAACATGCAAGATTATATTCTGTGTTTAAAAAAGAACGAAAGCATGGATTTAGAAAGACACAGCAAGAACACACCTAAGATATGCAAGATTATAGCCAAGGCTAATTTCCATCTTTAGTCCCTCAGCAGGTTGATAGCTGCTACACGTGTGAATACAAACAATCAGGAAAACAAATACAAAACAATGTTGTGATCTTAAAATTACCCCCCCCCCAAAAAAAAGATAAAAAATAATACACCCTAATTTGTAAAATGAACTGCTTTCGTTTACCCTGTATTAAAACTTAAAAAGTAGCCGCACAAATTAAAAATTTCCATATATACATATAAAATATAATCATACACCATTTAGCAGCAAGACAATATAATAGTCCATTCCTCAGTGGAAAAACACTCTGTACCTTTTCCTTAAATTTACTGTTATGTATTCTGTTTATGTTTGATCGTGTGAACAGATTTTCATGTAAAAGGTTGAATAAGTCTTCATTTTGTTCAAGAGAGCAGATTAGGTAATTAAAATGTTGTAAAGTACAACTAAAACCACAGTGTTATCCATCCATCCATCCATTCATCCATTCATTTTCCTCCGCTCATCCGGAGTCAGATCGTGGGGGCGGCAGCCTAAGCCGAGAGGCCCAGACTTCCCTCTCCCCAGCCACTTGGGCCAGATCCTCCAGGAGAATCCTATGCTGTTCCCTGGCCAGCCGAGAAACATAGTCCCTCCAGCGTGTGGGTCTTACTTTGTTTCTCCTCCCTCCTGGATGTGTCCGGAAAACCTCACCAGTGAGGCCCCAGGAGGCATCCTAATCAGACTGACTCCTCTCGATGTGGAGGAGCAGTGGATCTACTCCGAGCTTCTCACCCTATCCTGATCAATGATAAATTACCTGCACTTGTATAAGGCCTTTCAAAGTCAAGGGACTCCAAAGCGCTTTACACTACAGTGCATCATTCATCCATTCACACACACATTCACACACTGATGGTGATGAGCTACAGTGCAGGGTTTCCTCCAGAAAATGAGTAAAGCCTGGCGGCTTCGGCCGTCGGTGGTGTGGCGGGAGGGTCGTGCGCTACGTCCCGCAGCTCCTCTGTGAGAGCGGGGGTGGGGTGGTTTCACACGTTCCACTGCTGTTTCTCACCAGTATCAGCTGATGGAGGGCTCTAGTTTTGTTGCGCCGTTCCGTGTCAGTGGACACGGTAGGGTCGGGGAGGGGGGTGGGGCATGACGCTTAGCCTGGCGGGTGGGCAAGCATAGCCTGGCGGGCCGCCAGGCTTATAAAGCGCTGGGGGAAACCCTGCAGTGTAGCCACTGCTAACTGACAGAGGCGAGGCTGCCGAGCACAGGCACCACCGGTCCCTCTGACCACCACCAGCAGGCAAAGTTGGTTAAGTGTCTTGCCCAAGGACACAACAGCAGAATTCTCTCTTTGGAGCTGGGATCGAACCCGCTCTACCTGTTGAGCTACTGCTGCTTTAGGGAGAGCCCAGCCACCCTGCGGAGAAAACTAATTTTGGCCGCTTTTATCCGTGATCTCGTACTTTCGGTCACTACCCAAAGCTTGTGACCATAGGTGAGGGTAGGAACGTAGATCGACTGGTAAATTGAGAGCTTCACCTTTTGGTGACGCCACGACAGATCGGTACAACGCCCGCATCACTGCAGATGCAGCACCACTCCGCCTATCAATCTCGTGCTCCATCTCTCTCTCACTTGTGAACAAGACCCTGAGATACTTGAACTCCTCCACTTGAGGCAGGACCTCTTCCCTGACCCGGAAAAGGTGTTCTACCCTTTTGCGACTCAAGACTATGGTCTCGTATTTAGAGGATCGGATTCTCATCCCAGCTGCTTCACACTCGGCTGCAAGCTGCTCCAGAGAAAGCCCGAGATCACGTTCTGATGAAGCCAACAAGACCACATCATCTGCAAAAAACAGAGACCCGATCCTCAGGCCACCAAAACAGATCCCCTTACCACCTTGGCTGCGCCTAGATATCTTGTACAAATAAGTTATGAACAGGATTGTTATAAATGTACAGTTTTAATATGTTTTCATATTTAGTCCAAATGGTGATTTAAGCTTTAGCCATATTATTTATGGCAAGAAGAGTCTTAAACACAGAAAAGGGATGTGAGTCATATTCGTTTGGAATCTAGTTTGCTTTACTTATTAAAAGCAACTTATTTCAGTCGAACCATGTCATTGTTATTTTACAGGATCTTTACAGAAGTTTGTTGAAGTGGTGTCGGCTAGAACAGCAGTTGGTCACGATGCGGCTGGAAAACTAATCTTACTTCATATTGATGGACAAACTGAAATTCGAGGGTAAGAGAATGAAAAAGCTGGAGATGTTTGATGTTGATTTCTGTTGATTGCATGAGTTTTATGTATAGCCACACCGTCAGTGTACCAGTGTTACTCTAGGATGAACAGAAACAGTAGGCAGCATAAATTACAACATATATTCTGTCAACTTAAACCAGGTGTGACAACTATGTTTCCAAAGTAAAAATGAGATCTTTACAGTTTTGATAAGATCCTTCAAAAACTTAGTACAGTTTTTTACATTTTATTTTACTTTTCAAAAAAATACTCAATTTTTTACATACTAGTTCAAATTAATTATTTCTCAGTGTACAATTTGTATCCAACCATCCACCCACCCATTTTCTTCCGCTCATCCGGAGTCAGGTCATGGGGCAGTAGCCTAAGTCGAGAGGCCCAGACTTCCCTCTCCGCAGCCACTTAAGCCAGCTCTTCTGGGGGAATCCGAAGGCGTTCCCTGGCCAGGTGAGAGACATACTCCCTCCAACGTGTCATGGGTCTACCTTTAGGCCTGCTCTCGGTTGGGCGTGCCCGGAAAACCTCACCAGGCGTCCAGGAGACATCCTGACCAGATGCCCAAGCCGCCTCAACTGGCTCCTCTTGATGTGGAGGAGCAGCGAATCTACTCTGAGCACCTCCCAGATGACAGAGCTTCTCACCCTATCTCAAAGGAAGAGCCTAGCCACCCTGCGGAGAAAACTCCTTTTGGTCGCTTGTGTCTGCGATCTCACTCTTTTGGTCACTACCCAAAGTTCAAGACCGTAGGTGAGGGTAGGAATGTAGGTCGACCGGTAAATCGAGAGCTTTGCTTTCTGACTCAGCTCTCTTCACCACTACAGACCGGTACACCGCCCGCATCACTGCAGATGCAGCACCAATCCGCCTATCGATCTCACGCTCCAGTTTTCCCTCACTCGTAAACAAGACCCCGAGATACTTAAACTCCTCCACTTGGGGCAGGACCTCATCCCTGACCCGGAGAAGGCCCTTTTCCTAATCAAGACCATGGTCTCAGATTTAGAGGAACTGATTCTCATCCCAGCTGCTTCACACTGCTGCGAACCGCTCCAGCGAAAGCCCGAGATCACGTTGTGATGAAGCCAACGGGACCAGGCCACCAAAACAGATGCCCTCCACACCTTGGCTGTGCCTAGAATCCCGTCCATAAAGGTTATGAACAGAATCGGTGACAAAGGGCAGCCTTGGCGGAGTCACACTCTCACTGGGAACGAGCCCGACTTACTGCCGGCAAAACGGACCAAGTACAGTTTTGATTACATTTTAATTTAGCAAGGATTGGACTTTCTACAACGTCATTTGCCCTTGAAGTAAATTTGAATTAAAAGGTTTGGTTAAAATATTTCACACATAACACAAGGTTCTGCACTCAGCTGGAAACCAAACACTGACAGTGAAACGTGTTTTTCTCGTGCGTATACCAGAAGTATTAAAGAAAACAGAAACTTGGGTATCTATCTTAACTCACAAATTATTCTATTTAACTTGAGTGTTTGCTTCTGGAAAGTTTGTCGCGACAAAGTTAATATCAACTTAGTCAACAAAAAAGAGAGACCAGTCCAATATTTTCTTCAACACGGGACAATGAGGTGATGGACTGATGCTGGTGAATCTGAGTAACGTTAAACGTAGCAAACAGATCACAATCAGAAGGGTTTTATTGCCACACTGTATGTGCGAGAATCGCAACATTGGGAAATTGCTGTGATACGTGGTGCAAAAAAACATAAACGGTAAGTACTAATTAGAATTACGAAATAAACACAATGAAATGATAATAAAATAGGGAGGCAATAATTGGAGAGCAGCTACTATTTACAAGTCCGTGTAGGTACTAGTCAGAGCGGGTCAGGTCAGGTGCAAACACAACACAGGGCCAGGTGACTGAAACAAAGCAGATTAAAGGCCTTTTGTCAGCTGGAAAACTCATTTTACCAGATGAGCTAGAATCGTAAGGCTGATGTCAACCTCATCCCACTTAAGATAAATCCACCGATCAGTCGTATTGATCTGACTTTCCTTTTACCCTTGAATCAATGACCCTGCAGCTATTCCAAAGATTAATGGGCTGCTGTTAATTTTCCTGACTATAAATAACACAACACTCTGACATGTTGGAGAATATCTGCTGCCTTCTACGTGTTTTCTGTCAATATCAGGACACTGGCTGGGCAATAAAACATGTAAAGGTCAGGTCGAACTAAAGAGTGAGACTGACCTCCTGTCTGTTGGAAACAATTTACTTGGATGTTGAAATGACCAAGTGCTGAAGGCTGCTGGGGTGTCTTGTTTTGAAGAATACTTTGCTTAGATGTTAGTGATTGTGTGTATCCCGTTCACAAGCTTGTCAAATACAGACTTTATGTAAGCTCGGATTTTATAATAAGGATGTGTAAATAAGCTGTGTGGTTATCTTGTTTTGTTGAGCAAGTAAATAATAATGATTAAAATTAGGGATGTCCCGAGCGGCGTTTTAGGTTTCCGATCCCGATCCGATCTTTTAACTTTAAATCCGATCTGATTTCGAGTCCTGATCCGATAGTTTGCCTTTACTATTGAAATTTATAAAGCAGAAATATATTTGTAGCATGTAACTCAAGTTAACTTTCTAAGACAAATTTAATTAATAAGCATTACCATTATTGTTGTAAATCCCATGAAATCAACTTCCTGTTTTGAGACCGGATGTAGAGTGTAGTAGAGACGTGGATGAACGAGCTCATAGCAGACTAGGTTTCCCTGGATGGATGTAAATTCACATGAGCCGACAGGAGAGCGGAGCAATTCGGTAAGTGTCCCAAACATCTTGAGAAATGTAAATCGCCACTTGATTCATCATCCATTTGGTTGATTGATTGATTTATTTATTTTTTGTTGTTGTTGGAAAACTTGACTATAAACAGGGCTAAACTATTACACACGTATACAGGAGGTTTTTCTCAGAAATTAGCATATGCCAATGTGCTGGCAAGACTCGTCAGTTATAATTGCCGATCACTGAAAAAAATGAAAAAATTGGCTTGATCGGATCTCGGGATTGGGATTGGGACATCACTAATTAAAGGGACATTATGGAAGTTTGACAGCCAAAACGTGTATAGAAATAATAAATTTCTTCTTCATAGATTCTCCTGCAATGTCCTGGTCCTGTAGAATGAGCCCTGGCATTTTTACTGTGATTGCCTGTTTTTCTTTAAAATCACAGAAAAAGAGGGATGCTCGGGTCGAGCAGGCTGCTTCATGCGCGTTCACGCTCAGGCATAGCCCGTAGCATTTGCTATCCATAGCTTTAGCAGCAGAGAGCGAGGTAGTGCTAACTCAGCGACTTTGTCGCTGTTCCTAATGCCTAGTGACGAACCTAGCTACATTTCAGAGGACCCTTAGCTACTTTCTGTAGAACTTTCTTCTAGATATTTCCTGCAAATTAGCAACAAAATAGCCATTTTCGCTTCGAACCGTTCTTTGGTTTGATGTTGTTTCAGGTGTTATCAAGGATATAATAGTTACAGATACTGTGAATGTTACTGGTGTGTAGCTCACCTTGTAAGATGTCTGACTCTCGTGCAGAAGACCTGGGTTCGATTCTGGATGTGAACATAGTTTATTTAGAGTTTCTTTTTTACATTAATGGTATATTTTTTTACAGTAAGATGCCCAAATTTTTATTTGAGACTTGCCGAACGGCATTGAATTCACGGATAAAAAAAAGGTGTGGGTTCAACTTTCATTTTGGAACAATTTTTCAAGCAAGGGAAGGGAATGATCTGAGCATGCAGGAGGACTGACCCATCTTAAACCTTTGTCGGCTGTGCTGAAGAGAAAGGTACAGAACCAAGTTATTTAATTAATTAGCTGCACGTTTTCCTGACCTCTGTCCTCCGGGCCACACACACACACACAGGACTGTCTCAGCTGTTATTTTCGTTCAGGAATGTGCACGTACAGCATGCGCGCCTCGTGCACAAGCCTACTATTGAAGCTGCTGTTACGCTTTTGGCCTGAGGGGGCAATCTTGAGCATAAAAATTCAAAAGTCCGAAAAGTCCCTTTAAAATGTATATGATGTATTTGGACAGCAATGGACTTGGATAAAGATGTTTGTGATTTTGTCAGTGAAGAAGGACACAAACTCATTAATACTCAAAATAGTTTATTGCTGAACAATGCAGCCACATTATTTCTTTATGTTATGGCATAGCCCTAAAAAAGCTGTAAATACTAATTAGCTGCCTTATGCTAACAGGTGCTAGTAAAACTAGCTTCTTGTCACTGCTGGTTATTAAACTAAATTCAGTATAAATCACCAAATAGACAAAAGCTAAAAGTCACAACCGAGTAATTACATCCTTAGCTCTGGTTGGTTTCTCTATCGATACACACTAAAGCGATCAGGCTCACGGTGTGTCACATCTAAAATGGTCTGGGCAGAAACATCTCTGTTCTCAGTCTTTCTATTGAGTTAGAAACTTGACATTACTACAGTCTCACTTCTTCAGCAGATGGTTGACACGTTCAAATAGTTCAAGACATAATATTGCCCATCCATAAACTCAACCTAACAATAAAATAGAAATTTAGATTTTTGAGTAGCTTAATGATGATTTAGACGTAAATGACCCAAGTACATGTAAATCACATGTTAGTAGTTAGAATTAGTAAATTGTATAAATACTTTTATATTGTTTATGACTGGCTCTTGTTCAGTGAAAACTTAAACACTTATTTGTTCAGTACACTTTTGCAGCTTTCTAACTACAGTCATATTTTTCTCTGTCTATACAGTATGAACCTTTGGCAGTTAGCCAACTATATGAAAGACAATGGAGTGATTAATGCCATTAATCTGGATGGAGGGGGCTCTTCCACCTATGTGGTTAATGGCTCTTTGGCCAGTTACCCATCCGATCACTGGTGAGTCTCTATGTTTGATACATGAAAGGTTGCTTTAAAAAATGTTTTGTTGCTATTTTCTTCCATAAAAAGTTGCAATTCTTTTTTTATTTTTATTTTATTTTTTTAAGTTTGTCCTTTTCCCCTTGATTTTCTCTAATTTTCCCTCCCAGTAAATCAGACAGCAAGTGGCGCTGTAGCCGGGAAGTCTCTACTGTTCTATGTGTTCATAAACGTCGATGCCAGCCAGCAAACTGCAGTGGGAACGGTGAATGTGTGGATGGACACTGTCTGTGTAAGAAGGGCTGGCAGGGGTCTGCCTGTGACTCTCTGGTGTGTCAGCCTCCTGCCTGTGGACCCCATGGTGTTTGCACCCAGGGTAAGTGTAGAGGTAGAGGTCTTCATAGAGTTAACTAGTTTGGTTAACTCAGGCAAAGAGACAGGAGCAAAGCTATCAAGGATGATGCGCCTGGTTGGAGTCGGGAGAGGCGATAAGGCTGAAGGAGAGATGCTAGATCTAACCTTATTGACTTTGTCCACAAAGAAAGACAGAAAGTTCTCTCAGTCTGTAACAGAGTGGATGGAGGCTGTAGGAGAGGCAGGAGAGACGATGCTGCTGATGGTGTTAAACAGCACCTTGGGTTCCCTTTGCTCTGGGACACCAGGTTGGAGAAATAGGAAACCCTAGCGTCTCTGACTGCAGAGTTAAAGGATGTCAGAAGATCCTTTAGGGTTAGGGTTAGCAAGGTGGAAAAGAGGAGGTTGGAGAAAATTTTGAAAAAGTGGCCGGTGACTGCGGCTAAGCCAAGCACAGGTGCCATCTTGTTGTCGACCGGAAGCCAGAATCCAGGTCAGGTCAGAGTCCATTTGCTCTTGCTCTATCGCATTCTTTTCCTAGATTCCTCTGATGAGGGATTTCTAGCTTTCTTTGGCGGATCTACCATTGCTAAAGTCTCTTAAACTGCGAGTCTACTACAGACATATATACGTAGACGCGCTGCCATAGTTGCTGGCCGCTAGCCTGGCCTGCCAGACTCCTCCTCAGTTTAATTCTGCACAGAGAGAGGGTCTGGGAACTCTCCTATTCAAATAACCCCACCCCGTGAGAATTATAACCGAGGCAATCAGCGCTGAGTAGCGTACGCCACACACCAGAACACTGAGTATGTCGAACAACAGTTCAACTGAAGCGGAGTTCGCTGCGGCTCTTTCCTCTAAATGACTTGGACACGTCTTTAAAACAACAAGTAGAAGCACTAAAAGCCTTTCTTCTAAAGAAAGATGTTTGCGCCGTTGCTAGACGCCATTTTTGACTACAGCTGAAAAACTGCAGACGTCACACACAACGACGCTCAGTTTCTCAAACAATGAAGACAGTGGCGGAGTTTGCTGCGGCTCTCTCCTCAGTTCTAAATGACTTGAATGTCTTTAAAACCACAAGTAAACGTGCTAAAAGCCTTTGTTCTAAAAAAAATCAAAGATGTTTGCGCCATTGCCAGACGCCTTTTTTTTATGTTTTTACTACAGCTAAAAAACTACAGCGTTGTGCGGTACAGCTGACATTTTCGTCTTTTTTGTGATTGGTTATTTTTGAGCTGCCTAGTCCCGCCCCTCAAGTACCTCTCTGCCTGTGAGTTACCAGACTCTTTCTCTGTGCAGCATTAAACAGACGTAGGCTAGCTGGCCGCCATTTTAGATGGGTCTCCATTCGCCCCCAGTGCATTAATTTCTACAAAGGAAGGTGCTACCCAACTAAAAAGCACATTTTATCAAGCGGTTTCACAAAATCAGACACAAGTTGCACACTGTAGTAACTTTGGACTTTTCTACAATCTGCTTTGAAGAGTGAGACCCATCCGTAAAGCAATACGCAGTCAGTGCTAACAGCAGTGGACCGTGGATCAAAAACGGTACGGTGCGGTAAACAGACATGGGACCCCATAACACTATCACAGCTCTGAAAATGAACATAATAGATGATAGTATGCCACCAGAAAAAATAACATTATTTAAGGTGTAAAAGTTGCGGAATGGGGCTTTAAAGCAATCAAACCTTAAAGGAGCACAAAACTGTTTAGTCACCCTTCTGTCTCTTTCTTATATCCTGTGCATTTAGAGGCTCTGTAACTCTCCTTTCATGATTGTTCTGGATTGCATTTGAACGCATTTACTCAAGTTTTACTTAATAGGTGTCTGGAGTGAGAAGCTATGTGCTTTTTGTGCAGACTTAAAACAGTTTTGTTGCTGCTGTTGCAGGGTCCTTCAATTAAGCCACGTTTCTGTTGTGTGTCATTTGTCTTTGTGACAGATGGATGTGTCTGTGATGCTGGATGGAGGGGAAAGAACTGCAGTCAAGGTAAATAAGCATAAAATGGCCAGGCATGTTGAAAAATAAAAATGGTGAAGTGATTGAAACAAATGCTGATTTTGAAGTGCCCCAATTAAACGGTCAGTGGATTTTTTGACAGCTTTGGGGCAGTAGTTGATATCTCTAGATAAGTCTGAACTTAAACTCAGTCTAGCATAACATTTCATGAGTCAGATCAATCCTGATAAAACCCGACCTGCTTGATTTCAGTCTTTCTCTTGCAATCAAACATGCAAGTTCTCAGAAGCCCTTTATTTGAGAAATTCTGCTTCTTGAGATTGTTTTCAGTAGCCATGCATCTTAACCCTTTGATGAATAATAGTCACTACAGTGGACAGGTACTCAAAATTGTTATTTATTTATTTTTGCTATTAAGCACAGCTGTTGAAGACTTTATTACATGTGAGCCCCTCCATTTGGACTTCAGTAAGGCAAGCCAACATATTTCATGTTCAGAATGCACGCTGTCCACTGAGGTGGACATGTAATAAAGTATTTGTAAATTAACAAAATGTCACAAAAAATATTTGTTGAAATTTTTTTCATTCACACCTAAAGATGAATGAAAAAAATTGTTTAAAAATCATGGTTGAAGATCTCATAATTCATGCATCAGAGGGCTAAGGATCGCAATCTGTACACACTTTTTAAAAGCGTTCATAGTATTTTACACACAGTCTCTAAGGATTTTAATTCCATTTTCAGAAAATAAATACCCCTCAAAAATCTAAAATGGGTAAACATTTGGAGCCAAACCAGTTGAAGAAGGCCTCTACAGCAAACCTAGAGTGGCTTGCATTCTGTCACATTTGCAGAAAGTGAGGTAAAGTTTACCGTGATGGTAGGCATTCACAACACTTAAGAGGTCCTTCACTGAGAAACCGTTTTTTTTACTAATTGTTTTTAGAAAATGATCGGCCACTCTTACCCTAATTTCACACGGAAAGCATCGGCGGCGTGGAATGGCAGCGGAACTCCACTGCTTCAAATACAATCCATTATAGTCCATGTACTGTTTCAAACCAGCAGTGACGCTGCAATTTCCAGGCGCGTCCCTGAAGCGGCACGCCGCGCTGCTGAAGATAGGATCGGGTTTTATTTTTGCAGCGTGCTGCTTCTGGGATGCAGCAATTTCCGCATTTAACATATGGCTAGACAGGAAATCACACAAGATTTCAGTGTAAAATCACTGGTAAATTTCTAAATAAAAGTACTGCAGCGATGCTATTTCATAAATATGAAGCTTGCATGTGACCCAACAGCTTATTTATACACAGCATTGTTCCAGAAGTGCAGCGTTGTGTTTTTCATGGCTTTAATCCTGGCAGTGGAGAGGAACAGCATCATATATGACATCAAACAGCGATATCAAACATGATTTCCTTCTTTTTGGTTTAATGGCGGATTGCATAAACAAACCGTAACCTGAAGTCTTGAGGGATCATGTGATCTTGGAGTCCAGCGAAGACCACAACGAGGAGGCCGTGCCGCTGCCAAGACTCTCCCGTTGTGAAAAGGACCGCTTTGAAGTTCGCGAGTGAACCGTTCTGCTGCAGTTTCGAGCCGCCGAAGCTTCTAGCATCAAGCCGATGTTAGTTTAACATGCAGGCTGAACATGAAAATAGTCTCCTGCACTTATCGTCTGCATTAGCTTCTGATAGAAAATAGACTGTGAAACTTTAGGATTTGAAAAGCCTAACAGATCTTTGTCACACTGTCACAAAACATTGATGGACTCACCCATCTTGACTCAAAGGCTATTGTTGGTTTAGCGTCCAGGAAACCGCAGAGAACGTCTTGAGTAGTGAAAGCTAACTGTTAGTGTAGCAGTCCCCCGGATCTTTTACACGGACCTTTACCGTTAGCATTAGCAATCTGAAGCTACTTTCTCCTCTGGCCAAATTCCCCATGTTCAAGCAGGTGCACCGGAGCTTTTTTCCCAGAGTACGACATACAAGGCATTCGTTCCTAGAGACAAATGCATTAAAAATATGATTGAAGGTCCTTTTTAAGAAACTTGTCTGAACCATCATTGTAATGATGAGAGATCATGGAAGAACTTGCTTTGTGAGATTGAGCTTAATGTTAAATTTGAGATTCAATCCAAACTGCTCCAATGCCATAAAAACATAACTGATCGATGGGTGATGTGCATTCCTCAAAGGAATCCTGGGCCTTTAATTATTTTTGAGTTTGAGTACAGTGACTATTTAATTTATTTATTTGTTGTTGGATTGTATTTTTTATTTTTTAAATTAATATATTACCCAGAATTATATGAGTCTAATTTGCTATCAGGTGTTGTTTAGCACGTGGTGTTCATCTAAAAACTAACACAAAGCGTAGAATTTGTCCCGAACATCATTATTGTTTGGTTTTGGCTCTTCTCCATAGAGTGCCTGACAGGTTTCTATGGTGACAGTTGCAATAAAACTTGCTCCTGTGCAAATGGTGGTTCCTGTGACCCTGTCAGCGGACGCTGCACCTGCCTTCCTGGTTTCTATGGGGAAACCTGCAAACAAGGTACAGCTGTGTTACACCTGATGGGCACATAGGCTTTGAAACATGAGCACATGAGCCACTAACACCTTTAAAATAAGAAAATATCTGATCTTTGAATCAAGTTTCTCTCCTTTCTTTTCCTCTCAGCGTGTCCGCTGGGTTTCTTCGGCCTGTCGTGTGCTGAGAAGTGTGACTGTGACGATTTGTGTTCCTGTGACCCACAGACAGGAAGCTGTAACGTCACGTTTCAAGGAGAGACCAATAACACCTTACACGATGGTACAAATATGTTTTTTGTTTGTTTGTTTGTTTTTAGCTTAAATGTGCTCAGGTGCTGGCATACATGCATACATACTAATACATATTTTCATGTTTCATCTCCATTTTTCTTGTTTTTGACTAAATCAGCTCTGGGTGCACCTGTCTCTGGTTTTATGGATCTAGTGAAATATGTCCAAAAGAGCTTGAACATCGTTTATTTATTTTAAAAGAAAGAAGATATCTGAAAAGTTCCATATTTTGAGATATTTCTACCTGATATTTCCTTGTTTACTTTCACTTCCCAACAAAAGGCTGCTTTGTGAGTTTGAGCCTCTGAATGTGAACATTCTGTTTCCCTGTGCAAGGTGCACGTGCACACATGAGGAATGCATTTGACTATTTGTATAGAGACAAAGAAGACATGTCTGTCTTTATTGCTGTTTAACAAGAGCAGCACAGTGACTTCATCTGAGATTACAGACACTTTATATGATATGCAGCACACATCTAATCATATCTGTAGTTCATAACCTTATATTTTATTACCTAGGCTGAAGAAAAGAGCTTTTATAGAAAGTGAAACTGTTACCTGAGCCCTGTTTGTTTCTTCTCTTTTGTGGGTCAGTTGCAGCTCTTAGCCCAGAGCATGTGGATAGATGGAGTCCATCATAGGGATGGGCAATAACCGGGACAAAGCCCAAACAAACACAAAAGCGTCCTCAGGAGAACTGACAACAAAGAACCTGTTACAGATTAGTTTTCTAAGTTATGACTCAAAATATTTTAACATAAAACACGTGATTTTTAATCATTAGAAGATAAAAGGAAGAAAAACACTTGTTGTATATACGGTACTTGGAAATACTTTTCAAAGGTTAAAAACTTATTTAAAAAAAATCACTTTTTCTATTAGTTTTTCATTTAACGTATACTGCATGATGGCACAGTTTGTAGCTGTTGCCTCAAAGAAAGAGGGTTGCAGAAATAACCTGCGTCCTGGCAGCGGTGAGTTAGCATGTTCTCCTTGTGTGTGTGTGTGTGTGTGTGTGTGTGTGTGTGTGTCCTAACATTTCTCTCGGTGTGGGTTCCCATGGGTGGGAGCACACCCACCTAAGGAGGTCCAAAATCCAAGTGGGGCCCAAAATGGTGGACCCCACTCCGATTTCAATTAAAATGAGCTCAGCAGCCTCCCCTGATGCTACCATTGCTTTTTTTTTCATGTCAAAAAATTGTCCCCTAAGGTAGCAAAAAGTGGGCAAGTGTGTAAAGGTGTGTATCCTGCAGCCGACCGTAACCGGAAGTCAGGATATACACTTCCCGCAAAATCTTATACACACCGCGGGAGTCTGAAACCTTTGGCCAATGACATTGCTGCACTGAGGAAAACTACCGGAAGTTCACAACAAGAAGAAAACAACACGGATTGAAGACAAAAAGACGACGGAGTGATTGGATTATTTTGAATATTTTTACATTTACCGACCTCTGCATGCAGCAGGTAAGCTAGGCATGGTTCAGAAGAGTTTATATTTTGGCGTTCTGTTGGGATGTATTTAAGCTGGCTGCCATGTGGCTAACTTTAGCAACATAATATTATAAATAGTTCGTTGTTTACTCACCCAGACAAGTTTGGAGTTATTTGGAGCCGCTCAGAAGGAGTTTTTTTATCGAGTCGCCATCAGCTTATATCCATATAATGCCAATGGGAGCAAAACTGCAGGAGTTGTTGCTGCATTATCTGCCCTCAAACTCCTTCATTTAACCAAGTGTTCTTATTAAACGTTAACACTACTCCCATCGGAGTTCAGAAAATCTCGTAAGTGTTTATTTGTTCGGTTTGGGGTGATTTCAAGGCAAAAATACAACAATATTGTGCGATTAAAACAGCGTCACGGCCAGTCGCCATCTTGGTTGTAGTCCGGCCAGCACTTTAACTCTGTGCTCTGCAACGGTCGGTTTGACAGAACTTGCTGCTGTTGACATCAGTGTAGTTCGGGTTTGCGTGTTTCCAAATTGCAATAATCGAATGACCAATTGGACTAAATTCAGCTTCTACAGACTCTTTCAGCAACCTACGCGGACTACAGCCGTAATGGCGGAGGGCTGCAACGTTATTGAAATCTCAGTTGGAATCGGTTGCATTAAAAGCCTGTAAAACTCCAGAAGCTAATATGTTAGCACCTTTGAGACGTGCTGAACTCACAGAGGAATTTTTTTTAACTATTCTCAACAAAACATTGTTAAATGAAGGAGTTTTGGGGCAGATAATCTTATAATATCCTGCCCTGATAGGCTCCCATTATATGGATATACAGTGATAGCAACCTGATTAAAACTCCTCCTGAACTACGCCAAGTAGGTCCACACTTGTCTGGGTGAGTAAATTAACGTAATATTTGTTAAAAAAGTTAGCCTGGCCAGCCAGACTCGCTCTGTGCAGAATTTAACAGAGTGAGTCTGGCTGGCCAGGCTAAAAAAAAATAAGGTCCAGGTTGAAAATGCTGCATGTGTCAGTGATGTTATTGTACCAGAAGTTTGACAGCCCTAGTTTAGATTAGTGACTGAGTGTCTTTGCAGCACAGCTTGGTTATTATATAACAAACTAACTTCTTGGCTTCAACAGGCTCGGTCAGCTCTCAGTGTACACATTTCAGAATTTGTATATTTCATTATCCTGTGTTTGATGTTAAACAATGTGCATCATGCAATAGCAAAGCTCAATGCACAGCTGCTGTATGTGTGTTTGTATGAATGTTCTAGATTTTATTTTTCTCTTGCTATTTTTCAAAAACCTTTCTGTGAGATTTGCCTTGACTAAGTACTAATTACGATTATTTTCACAGAGCCATTATTTCCACAAGAAAGAGGAGGAAAAAGCCTATAGATGATGCAAAGACACACATCCTGTCCTGTACTGACAAGGTTGGGTTTATGTCGAGATACATTGACGGTTACAAAGGTAATTTGCGAAAATTTCTTGACACAACTTGTGTTTTTCAAAAGCAAAGCAGTTGACAAGTTGACAAGTAATTAAAATTGCGCCCACATTTTCAAAGTTAAACACATTTCTTTTAACAACGGTAGTTTTTTCATCTTTACTGCAAACTCACTGATGCGCCTGCAGCCTCTCAGAGTTCATGCTGCTCTAAACATTGAAAGAATGATTTAATTTTCTGTTGCTGACTTCTGATTACCTTAAATGGTGTCTGTTTGTTGCTACCAGCAGGTACAAAAAGGAACTTATTTTTATTTGACTATTTTTCTGTCCTGTCTGTTTATCATCTTCCTTCATCTCATCTCAATCCTAAAGAAAAACTGCTATCTGGCTTCATATATATTCACCTTATGAGTTACCTTTGAACTGCAGTTCTAAAAGATCTACCGACCGCAAATATAGAGGAGTGTGTGCTACGCACAGACCGCATCAGTGAGGTGAAGTCACAGCAGAATGAAACAGGTGATGCGCTCTGCTCCACAGCAGCAAAATGCATCAGGCACAAATAAAAGACAGAAAGCATGAAGGGATATGAGCCGACATGAACGATTACGTGTTAAATTTGTTTTTGAGATGGCGACACTTTGAGAATGTAGCTGTGGCTGTGCTCAGGATGCATCTGTCTGGAGCGCATCAACGATCAGAGCTCTGCGCCTCTCAGCTCTAAATAATCTTGGAGAGTTCACATAGATAATGTAATATAAGTGGAACCATTGATTTTTCGAAAAAAATGGTAAACTATTGTGTGGAGGATCTACAGACTCCAGTAGTCTGTAGATGAACAGCACCTTCTTCCTTTTCTGGTGCATTTTGTGCAGCTGAAAACACGGTCGTTTCTGCTCCACACCAGACCAGAGGATTACAATCCCAGTGATGTGACGGGAGTTCAACATGCCTCCTATCCTCCAGAGCCACTTGGTGGAGTTTTGAAAAATATTTGATGGCTCCTACCCAGATCAGCATTGGAGCTCTAGAAGAGGATAGAGCTTTCAAAAATTCCTAGTGAGGCGGGGATGCTGGTTTCTAGGTCGGAACTGGCTAGGAACTTGTGCTCCTAACCTCAAGAAGAGGATGCAAAGCTTTTAAAAGATGCTAGCGGGCTAGGGAAGCTGGTTTCTGGGTTGTGCTCTGGATAAGATGACATGCGTCTCTCCCTCTCTCTAAAGCGCTAAGCTACATTACGTGAATGGATATTAACAAGTATTAAACAGCTGACAAATGCTCATTGCCAAGAATCAATATTATATTAACTGCCCAATAATATTTTAATTGTCTACACCAGGGATTCCCAAAGTGTGGTGCCGCTAGGGGGTGCGCAAGGTGAAAAGTGTAATGGCTGCGGAGCTCAGAGAAGTCTGTCAAAAGTCACCATTAGCGTAGCCAGAAACTCATTTGTGGGTGGGCCTAAGAAAATGTAAGTGGGCCCAATGAACGTAATTGAAAACAAGTATATTTTGCTTGTGTGTGTGTGTGTGTGTGTGTGTGTGTCCTCCGCACATGCCCTAGCTCAGGGGTCGGCAATCCGCGGCTCTGGAGCCGCATGCGGCTCTTCCATGCGGCTCTCTGTGCTTGTAAAATAATGAATGGATATTTAAATAAAATGCTTTGTATTTTACTGAATTAATTTTACATCTGTAAGCTAATTCTCAATGTAGATTGTCTGCGTAAACCTGAACAGGTCCAACCCGGTCTTACTGTGAGACCGGGTTGACGCGTCACGCATGTGCGTAAACATAGGCGCTTTCTGAGCTGAAGACGATGTGAGATTCTGGGACTCTCCTCAGTCGCCACATTGGAGACAGGAACAAGCACAATTCAGCCAAAGTTTCATCATCAGGGAACATTTTCTAAGTGACAAGTCTCTCTGAGAGACCGGGTTTTGAAAACTCTCGCTTCAGTGGAAGGAATCTTCCCGCATGCGCTCTGGTTCTGCAACGTGTTGCAAGCCCCTTTCCACATCTTCAGCTCGCTGTGCACCTTATGTACGCGCTAACTGAGCGGTGTCCAGCTCAGATGTTCAGAAGGAAATCTTTTCTTGAGTGATTTAGCTACATCTGCGATTTGCGTAGAATAAAGTGTCAGTTCGTCTACATGCGTCGGGGTAATTCTTTCTATTCTTTCTCCATCAAAAATAAACGGTCAAATACGGGAACTGTCCGGTTAACACAACACAAGCCCTGCTTTTAACTGTTCTGTTTTCTTGTGAAAATTGTTACAAATTTAACGTGATTAACACCAGAGCCAGGCGCACTGCGCCGTTGTCTCGGTCACTGTAAATGAGGGAGAAACAAAATGATCGGATCCTTTTCTGACCTTCCCCACCTACAAAGTTTAATTACAACAATCAAATGTGACAGAGCCTGGATTTGTATTCTGAACAGTCTAAACATGTTTTAAAAAGAAACGTAGGACAAAAGTGGCACCTGCTCAGTAAAACCATCAACAGGGTGAAAAATATCTAAATACTGTCGGCAGAGACGGGCTACAACTTCTGGATCCACTTTATATAAATTGTTTTATTGATTACCTTCTTATGAAAGATAACTTTGACGTACACGAGCGACCGGTACCGGCTGCTGTCACCTGTTGTTAGCAGCGCTCTGCTGTCTGAGGGTAGGCCCCGCCCACAACGCCGCAGCTGCTGCAGTGTTTTCTTTACTGTGGGAAACGGGTAATAATGGCTCTTTGATGGGAACAGGTTGCCGACCCCTGGTTTAGCGTGACGTCTGATATGTGTGTGTGTATATATATATATATATATATATATATATATATATATATATATATAGCCATGCCCTGATGTGGGGCTGGGGGGTGTGTCAACATGGTCGGGACATAGAAGGGGGTGCGCGGCTAAATAAGTTTGGGAACCACTGCTCTACATGACAGTAACATTTTGTTAGCGCACGAGTTGTAGCAAGCTAGCTAGCATCGTTCACTCACAGAGACACCTGCTCCTCCACAGAACCTCCTGACACCACAGATAAATCTCTCTGCTTTGGCTGATGATTTCTCCCTCTGGTTTGTCTCTAAGCTGCAGTTTGCTCTTTAAGGCAAATTTCATCTGTATTGATCCAAAAATGACAAGGAAAGGGTGAAGTTAGTAGGGATTGCATTATTAAACATTAAAAGTAGATGTCATCATTCACATGAATGAATTTCAGTTCTTTTCTTGTTTCTCTTGGCCTGTTAGGACTTATGTGTCATTTACTGAGCTCCTAAGGTATTTAATAAGCATTTATTTAGATTTTTAAAAAAGATGCAGGAACCTTGAAATAGCACTTTCTTCTCTATTTCTTCCTCTGCATACATTTTTTCCTCACAATCTCTGGGTGTCAAATCTCAATTATTACAAACTTGTAAATCATAATGTCATTGCACTTGTGAAAATAGATTTAAATGCATTTTTAGTTTACTGCAACTTAAAGCTCATTTGCACTATACATTATTGAACTAGTCAATCTATTTGTTGTATATACATTTGTTATATTGCTTTTCTGTCTCATATATTGCAAATAGGAATACTTTTTTGTATTGCTATTTAATATATAGTTCCATGCCTTGCTGTGGCCCCACTGTAATTTTCCAGTCTGGGATCCATCTACATCTGTTTGTCGGTTTATGTCAAGTCTGAGTTGCATGGGTTAGGGTGCATCTGTGTTGTTACACTTCACTGGTGTGTTACGTGGACCAAATGGTACACAGCACTCTCAGATTAAGGGAAAGTAACAGAGCATAGACAGGACCTCAGTGATACATTCATATGGATGGGTTGGCATCAAAAACATGTTTTGGCCACAGAAAGCCTGATCAAAAATCTGTTTACCTGCAAGGAGAATGTTGAGCATTGTCTGCAGGTTATATACCGACTAGACGCAAGAACCTCAGCCTCACTTTAAAATACTGTAGTATCTCTTTTGAGTCCCAGAATGAAATGTTTAATTATTATATATTTTATAGGAAGAGGAGTGTTTGCCACACCCCCCAATGAACCAGGGGACTTCGTCTTGGAGTACAGGGGTAAACTCCTCACAAAGGAAGAATGCGAGTCAAGACGATACTCAGAGACTGAAAGCAAATTTCTCTTTGGCTTTAAGTGGCAGAACCATTGCTTATGGTAAACATGGAAAAATGGATGATTTTTATTGATTAGAGAAATTCCGAGTTATCCCTGGAACAAGGGTTTAATACTTGATAAACTAATTAAAGCACAAATATTAAAATCTTTTGAAAACAATTATTTCAGTAAAACTGTTAAAAAATGTAAAACTATTACAATTTTTTTTAATACTTTTCAGCCTGGATGCATCTGAAGAAGATGGCTCTCTCGGAAGATTGGTCAATGACAACCACAAAAATCCTAATTGCGTTATGAAAAAAATCATAGTTGACAACAAACCACATTTGTGCCTTTTTTCTCTGAAGAAAATAGAAATAGGAGCTGAAATTTATTACAACTATGGTGATTCAAAATGGCCTTGGCGCAGTAAGGTGAGTTGGTTGCTATTTCTCCAATATTAACCATGCTTCCAATATTACTCTTGGTTGTCTATGGAAATGCATTTCATCTTTGATCTGTGATATGTTTTATTCATCTACAATCCAGGTGGGAAAAAACAAGGCTCCTGCAGCAGCAAAAGAGAACCTATTGGGTGGGGAAGGCCAGGTAATGCCACACACACTGTCATGTTTCCAGTCATGTTCTTATGGGGTCCTTCCATCTTCCAAACACATTTCTATCTGGAGTCTCTCCTTTACACACTTGTATGTCTCTAGTCTGACCCAAGTGGGGCCCTTCCGTCCAGTTCTTCTTGTAGATGTTTTTAGTGCACTATGGTAACACCAGACATGACCTCAGCTGTGATTTTAACATTCATAATTGTATACCGTCTGAGCTTTTACATGTTTTAAACTAATTTTTTGATTCATCCACTGTGAACTCCTGGAATCGTCATGAGAGCTGCTCATTACCAGTAGTCCAGAAGGCCACGCCATGTTCTCAGTTGTCGTTCTGTGCTGCTGTTTCACAGTTAGATGATCTTTTTTGCCTTTGGAAGTCTCTTCATATAGTTCTGAGTCTTTTGTCTGTTATCTATATTTCAGATGAAAGGCCTTCAGACTCCTGCTGCAGCAGAAGAGAATGAGGCCAGCCCTGTTCCTCAGATGCTTAATGATGGACCAATCCCAGATGAGACCTACACACAGGTAAGAGTACATTCAAACACCTTCTTCTGTGCTAACATGTATGTGGTGTTGTTCTACTACTAAAATGGACCAATGCTCATGTGGCTGTATGGTAGTCAGGTGGACCTATTGGGTGGGGAAGGCCAGGTAATGCCACACACACCGTCATGTTTCCAGTCATGTTCTTATGGGGTCCTTCCATCTTCCAAACACATTTCTATCTGGAGTCTCTCCTTTACACACTTGTATGTCTCTAGTCTGACCCAAGTGGGGCCCTTCCGTCCAGTTCTTCTTGTAGATGTTTTTAGTGCACTATGGTAACACCAGACATGACCTCAGCTGTGATTTTAACATTCATAATTGTATACCGTCTGAGCTTTTACATGTTTTAAATCAATATTTTGATTCATCCACTGTGAACTCCTGGAATCGTCATGAGAGCTGCTCATTACCAGTAGTCCAGAAGGCCCAGCCATGTTCTCAGTTGTCGTTCTGTGCTGCTGTTTCACAGTTAGATGATCTTTTTTGCCTTTGGAAGTCTCTTCATATAGTTCTGAGTCTTGTCTGTTATCTATATTTCAGATGAAAGGCCTTCAGACTCCTGCTGCAGCAGAAGAGAATGAGGCCAGCCCTGTTCCTCAGATGCTTAATGATGGACCAATCCCAGATGAGACCTACACACAGGTAAGAGTACATTCAAACACCTTCTTCTGTGCTAACATGTATGTGGTGTTGTTCTACTACTAAAATGGACCAATGCTCATGTGGCTGTATGGTAGTCAGGTGAACCTATTGGGTGGGGAAGGCCAGGTAATGCCACACACACCGTCATGTTTCCAGTCATGTTCTTATGGGGTCCTTCCATCTTCCAAACACATTTCTATCTGGAGTCTCTCCTTTACACACTTGTATGTCTCTAGTCTGACCCAAGTGGGGCCCTTCCGTCCAGTTCTTCTTGTAGATGTTTTTAGTGCACTATGGTAACACCAGACATGACCTCAGCTGTGATTTTAACATTCATAATTGTATACCGTCTGAGCTTTTACATGTTTTAAACTAATTTTTTGATTCATCCACTGTGAACTCCTGGAATCGTCATGAGAGCTGCTCATTACCAGTAGTCCAGAAGGCCACGCCATGTTCTCAGTTGTCGTTCTGTGCTGCTGTTTCACAGTTAGATGATCTTTTTTGCCTTTGGAAGTCTCTTCATATAGTTCTGAGTCTTTTGTCTGTTATCTATATTTCAGATGAAAGGCCTTCAGACTCCTGCTGCAGCAGAAGAGAATGAGGCCAGCCCTGTTCCTCAGATGCTTAATGATGGACCAATCCCAGATGAGACCTACACACAGGTAAGAGTACATTCAAACACCTTCTTCTGTGCTAACATGTATGTGGTGTTGTTCTTCTACTAAAATGGACCAATGCTCATGTGGCTGTATGGTAGTCAGGTGGACCTATTGGGTGGGGAAGGCCAGGTAATGCCACACACACCGTCATGTTTCCAGTCATGTTCTTATGGGGTCCTTCCATCTTCCAAACACATTTCTATCTGGAGTCTCTCCTTTACACACTTGTATGTCTCTAGTCTGACCCAAGTGGGGCCCTTCCGTCCAGTTCTTCTTGTAGATGTTTTTAGTGCACTATGGTAACACCAGACACGACCTCAGCTGTGATTTTAACATTCATAATTGTATACCGTCTGAGCTTTTACATGTTTTAAATCAATATTTTGATTCATCCACTGTGAACTCCTGGAATCGTCATGAGAGCTGCTCATTACCAGTAGTCCAGAAGGCCCAGCCATGTTCTCAGTTGTCGTTCTGTGCTGCTGTTTCACAGTTAGATGATCTTTTTTGCCTTTGGAAGTCTCTTCATATAGTTCTGAGTCTTGTCTGTTATCTATATTTCAGATGAAAGGCCTTCAGACTCCTGCTGCAGCAGAAGAGAATGAGGCCAGCCCTGTTCCTCAGATGCTTAATGATGGACCAATCCCAGATGAGACCTACACACAGGTAAGAGTACATTCAAACACCTTCTTCTGTGCTAACATGTATGTGGTGTTGTTCTACTACTAAAATGGACCAATGCTCATGTGGCTGTATGGTAGTCAGGTGAACCTATTGGGTGGGGAAGGCCAGGTAATGCCACACACACCGTCATGTTTCCAGTCATGTTCTTATGGGGTCCTTCTATCTTCCAAACACATTTCTATCTGGATTCTCTCCTTTACACACTTGTATGTCTCTAGTCTGACCCAAGTGGGGCCCTTCCGTCCAGTTCTTCTTGTAGATGTTTTTAGTGCACTATGGTAACACCAGACATGACCTCAGCTGTGATTTTAACATTCATAATTGTATACCGTCTGAGCTGTTACATTTTTAAACCAATATTTTGATTCATCCACTGTGAACTCCTGGAATCGTCATGAGAGCTGCTCATTACCAGTAGTCCAGAAGGCCCAGCCATGTTCTCAGTTGTCGTTCTGTACTGCTGTTTCACAGTTAGATGATCTTTTTTGCCTTTGGAAGTCTCTTCATATAGTTCTGAGTCTTGTCTGTTATCTATATTTCAGATGAAAGGCCTTCAGACTCCTGCTGCAGCAGAAGAGAATGAGGCCAGCCCTGTTCCTCAGATGCTTAATGATGGACCAATCCCAGATGAGACCTACACACAGGTAAGAGTACATTCAAACACCTTCTTCTGTGCTAACATGTACAGGTGCTGGCCAGTAAATTAGAATATCATCAAAAGGTTGAAAATATTTCAGTAATTCCATTCAAAACGTGAAACTTGTACATTATATTCATGCAATGCACACAGACCAATGTATTTCCAATGTTCATTACATTTAAATTTGATATTTATAGGTGACAACCAATGAAAACATCAAATCTGGTATCTCAGAAAATTAGAATATTCTAAAGGCCAATGAAAAAATGTTTGTTTCTCTAATGTTGGCCAACTGAAAAGAATGAACATGAAAAGAATGTGCATGTATAGCACTCAATACTTAGTCGGGGCTCCTTTTGCCTCAATAACTGCAGTAATGCGGCGTGGCATGGACTCGATCAGTCTGTGGCACTGCTCAGGTGTTATGAGAGCCCAGGTTGCTCTGATAGTCGTCTTCAGCTCCTCTGCATTGTCGGGTCTAGCGTATTGCATCCTCCGCTTCACAATACCCCATAGATTTTCTATGGGGTTAAGGTCAGGCGAGTTTGCTGGCCAATCAAGGACAGGGATACCATGGTCCTTGAACCAGGTGCTGGTGGTTTTGGCACTGTGTGCAGGTGCCAAGTCCTGTTGAAAGGTGAAGTCTGCATCCCCATAAAGTTGGTCAGCAGCAGGAAGCATGAAGTGCTCTAAAACCTCCTGGTAGACGGCTGCATTGACCCTGGACCTCAGGAAACAGAGTGGGCCAACACCGGCAGATGACATGGCACCCCACACCATCACTGACGGTGGAAACTTTACACTGGACCTCATGCAACGTGGATTCTGTGCTTCTCCGCTCTTCCTCCAGACTCTGGGTCCTTGATTTCCAAAGGAAATGCAGAACTTGCTTTCATCAGAAAACATAACTTTGGACCACTCAGCATCAGTCCAGTCCTTTTTGTCCTTGGCCCAGGCGAGACGCTTCTTGCGCTGTTTCTTGTTCAAGAGTGGCTTGACACACGGAATGCGACACCTGAATCCCATGTCTTTCATGAGTCTCCTCGTGGTGGTTCTTGAAGCGCTGACTCCAGCTGCAGTCCACTCTTTGTGGATCTCCCCCACATTTTTGAATGGGTTTGTCGTCACAATTCTCTGCAGGGTGCGGTTATCCCTAGAGCTTGTACACTTTTTTCTACCACATGTTTTCCGTCCCTTCGCCTGTCTGTTAATGTGCTTGGACACAGAGCTCTGCGAACAGCCAGCTTCTTTAGCAATCACCTTTTGTGTCTTGCCCTCCTTGTGCAAGGTGTCAATGATTGTCTTTTGGACAGCTGTTAAGTCAGAAGTCTTCCCCATGATTGTGGTGCCTTCAAAACAAGACTGAGGGACCTTTTAAAGGCCTTTGCAGGTGTTTTGAGTAAATCAGCTGATTAGAGTGGCAGCAGGTGTCTTCTATATTCAGCCTTTTCAGAATATTCTAATTTTTTGAGATACCAAATTTGGAGTTTTCATTAGTTGTCACTTATGAATATCAAATTTAAATGTAATGAACATTGGAAATACATTGGTCTGTGTGCATTGCATGAATATAATGTACAAGTTTCACGTTTTGAATGGAATTACTGAAATATTTTCAACCTTTTGATGATATTCTAATTTACTGGCCAGCACCTGTATGTGGTGTTGTTCTACTACTAAAATGGACCAATGCTCATGTGGCTGTATGGTAGTCAGGTGAACCTATTGGGTGGGGAAGGCCAGGTAATGCCACACACACCGTCATGTTTCCAGTCATGTTCTTATGGGGTCCTTCCATCTTCCAAACACATTTCTATCTGGAGTCTCTCCTTTACACACTTGTATGTCTCTAGTCTGACCCAAGTGGGGCCCTTCCGTCCATTTCTTCTTGTAGATGTTTTTAGTGCACTATGGTAACACCAGACATGACCTCAGCTGTGATTTTAACATTCATAATTGTATACCGTCTGAGCTGTTACATTTTTAAACCAATATTTTGATTCATCCACTGTGAATACCGCATCCAGTTTAAGGTCTTAACTATTGTTTACAATGCCCTAAATGGTCCAGCTCCCGCTTCCCTGTCAGAACTGCTCAAGCCATATGTACCATCCAGAAGCCTAAGATCGGCAGATCACCTGCTCTTTTGCACCCAAAGATGAAATATAAATCCAGTGGGGGGCGGGCCTACGTGTTTGCTGCCCTCAAACTTTGGAATGCTCTTCACCTCAGTGTTCGACAGGCCCCGTCACTGTGTCGGTTCAAGTCAGTGCCGAAGGCCTATTTTTATCATTAACTTTGATCAATGATCAGGCTGTTAGTGTTTTAGTCTGTGGTGTCTTCCCTGTTGACATGTGCTTACCTTTTAGTATGTTTTTTTTAAATATTTTTAGTCATGACCTTGTTTTTACTCGTTATTTTTTTAAATCTTTTAATTCTTTTAATTTATTATCCCTTTTATCCTTTATAATTTTTTTCAATCTTCTTTGTTATTTCGGGGTTCTTTTTCTAACTTCGTTCGGTGTTTCACTACGGGGAATCGCCCTGGCGTGACCAACTACGGAAGCTCCATTGACATCACGTCTGTCCCTGACAGACTGGTAGCGCCGTGCCCAGGCTCCGCCCACCCAGTATATACACGGCCAACCAACCCCTCCTACTCATTCTCGCTTTCTCGCTTTCTTCCCGTGAGAAACTACACTTTGCTCCCTCAGCGATTTTCAGGCTATCTTTGGTCAGCTGCTTAACTGTTCCCAGGCGTACCATCAGGATCCGTCGCCGAACGCAGTCCCAATGCAGTCTGGATTAGAGCTGAGTAAGTGTTTCTAAGTCACTTGGCACACTTTGCTAGGAACCATTACCGCGTCACGGCGAACTGCTCCCGCGGCTACTCGGTTGTCATTGACGGAGTAGTATTAGCGAGTGTGGCTCAAGCTAACGCGTTGTTGCGAGCTTGTCCTGTTCTTATTTAGCATTTACTCGCTAATGAGCTATTTTGTTGCAGCTAACGTGTCACGACGAGTTGTCCTACATATAAAATATAGCTATAGTTGCAGACTTACACCTGCTAACTAGCTTGCTAACGCTTTTTCAGGCTAATCTGTCACGACCAGTCGGTTTTTCAGCTATGGCTTCCACCCCTACCCAGACGGAAGGGTCGGAACCAAAGGCTAAAGAGGCTGCATCCCGCCTGTGCCCGGCGTCATGTGGGGCTTCTATTTCAGGCAGGGACCCTCATCCTATTGTCATAGTGTGCATGGGTGCTGCTCACGCCCAGGCATCGCTGGCTAACCCGCAGACATGCCCTCACTGCTCCTCCATGCCAGAGAAAAAGGAGGCTTAGAGTGGCAGTGGCTAACGGCCGGAACCCAGGCCTCGGCTTGGCCACACCTGTGATGCAGGTGACAACCATCAGCCGCGAGCCTCCACAAGTTGGGCAGATATGATGGAGGAGGAGCCCCCGCTACCACTTCTGTTCGAGGGACTGGTTGACAGTGGGCTGCTCGATGCGGGTGATGACCTCCTCTATTTGGACATGGACGAGGAGGAAGAGGATTCCACCTTCCCGGCTCAACACTCTAGGCCACCTAGCGGCACTGGGGTGGCATCACAGGGGGACACCGACGTGTACGAGGTTTGCAGGCGAGCAGCTGCAAAGCTCAACATTCAGTGGCCGGCAGCCCAAGGGACAGAAGGGGTGGAACGAGACCTGTATGAGGCTTCCACTGTCCTCCGCTCCACCCAAGTGTTACTGGTCTAGCTCATTTAAAAGCAAACTCCCCACCAAGGGATACTCCAAACTGGAGGTGCATGGGATGGGGGAATTGGGGCTGGCCGAACCCCCAACTGTGGAGCCTTCAGTGGCATACCACCTTCACCCCAACCGCAGATCCGTGTCAGCGTCATCCAGCATCTCTCTCCCATCTAAAACGGATCGTCTCAAGGCATCCATTTTTCAGAGGATGCACACATATGCTGGCCAATCTGTGTGTTCCCTCAATGCAGTTACTCTAATGTCAGCTTATCAAGGAGAAATCCTGGAGGAAATGGGTCGTCAGCTGGACTCTTGGGCGCCTAACCCGGCTTTATGGGATGAAATCTGTGTGGTGAATGATCTCATCCTGCACTCTTCTAGAGGAGCAGTCCAGGGCTGTGGACGTGTGATGGGTTTGGCGGTTTCAGGTGAGAGAGCCTTGTGGCTAAACTTGTCAGGCCTAGGTGACAGCCAGAAAGCTGATGTCATGGATGCAGCATTTGACCCTGTCAAAGGTCTCTTTGGCCCGCCCTGGAGAAGATGACTGAGACAAGCACCCACAGGAAGCAGGAAGGTGAGGCCCTCAATCTCTGCTTGCCTCGTAAACATAACCCTCAGCCACCTCAGGCACCCAAGCCTGGGTTTGCAGCAGCTGCCCCAGCGGCAAAGGGTCAACAGGGTGGGGCTAGACCACAGCGATCGGCAGGTGGTCAGCCAAACAAGGCGGAGAACCCTCGCCCATGGGGGAAGCACTCTTTCGCAGCAGCAGCCGCGAGGAACCGCCCGTCTCACCCCAGCGAGGGCAAGAGGAAGAAGTCATTCTAGCTGCTCTTGCTTCTCCTCTCCAGAAGAAGAGGAGGTTTTCAGAGGTACAAACAGACCTCTGTGTTCAGGGTTCAGACACTCCTGTGGTTCCCGGTCCAGCAGGAGTGGCGAGTGTGTGGAGCAGAAAACGCAGTGTCACCAAACACTTTTCATGAGCATGCAGTTAGTGTCACCAAGCACTTTGTTCCCAGATGTGTGCAGAAATGTTCAGGGGGGTCATTTAAAAATAAAGACGGCTTTTCTGCAGCCAGGCGTTCAGTCAAGGGCAGACAGCTCCCCACAAAAAATAATAAACAAACCCCATCAGGTCCCTCTGCGCCCAGCAGAGGGCCCTCTCACTCTTCCCACGGGACGAGTCGAGGCTGCTCAGGTGACGGAGATGACGTCACCCAACAGCGGCTTGCTTTCGGCGCGGGCCAAGAGGT